TAATGATGTATATTCAAAGCTTTGTAATGATGAGTGTTCAACGTATTCTAATGGTGTGTGTTCAATGTGTTGTAATGATGTATATTCAAAGCTTTGTAATGATGAGTGTTCAACGTATTCTAATGGTGTGTGTTCAATGTGTTGTACTAATCTGTGTTCAATGTGTTTCAATGATGTGTGTGTTGAGTCTGGCGTATTGATGTGTGTGTGTGTGTGTGTTTTTTCATTTGAACGATTTTCACTACAATTAAGTTACACAACAAAATTTAAACTTTGAAAAGAAATTATGAATTTTATCAAAATATTAGAGGTTTTTTTTTATTAAAAGAATAAGCAAATAATTTTAGAATTATTAGAGCAGATTGAAAGCTCGTGAATCTGTAAATAAAAAACAAATCTTTACGGGTAAAATTCTCTGATGTAAATGTTTACATGTGAATATTTGGTTAATATTACTTTGCATCACATTTATCCTGCTTCCAAATTTTACATTTCGAGGCTACACTTGATAATTTGACTGTGGATTTCATATTTTCCAAATTAGTTACAATGTATAAGTATTCTTTACTGTACCACTTAGCATGAATTGTCTGGCGGGATTGGCCGAGAGCGTGGAATAAATCATTTTCATTGTTGCCTCGAAAGCCAGGCAACATATCGCATCAGTGTTGCCAGGTTGTCAAGAGCGTTGTCATTCATGCGTGACGTCACAACAGAAATTTGCAAACGACAAATATTTGCAACTTCGTATACAGAGAGAAAACAAAACTGGTGGATATAACTTGTGGGTGAGTTTAAAAATATATAAACAAAATCAGTGATGATCAGTTGACCACGTCAACGTATTTTGGGCCCCTTATTGAGGTGAAGCCGAATTATTGGGTACTAATAAGGTTTTTCATTTGTATTTCGGAAGTTTAAAAAACATGTCATAAAACATAAAATGTATGATACACAGTACGGGAGATAAATGTTAAACATGTGACACATACAACTGAAAAGACAAAAATAAGGCATATGACATATAGTTTAGAAGATAATAAAATTAACGTGTGACACACAATTCACAAAATATAAGTAAGGCATGTGGTTTAGACGATAAAAAGCTAAACACGGGTCACATATTTACAAGATTTGTTTGTTTGTGATTAAGCACAAAGCTACACAATGGGCCATCTGTTCTCTGCCCACCACAGGTATCGAAACTCGGATTCTAGTGTTGTAAGTCCGCAGACATGCCGCTGTGCCAATTGGAGCTATTCACAAGATAAAATTAAGACACGTGACAGATAGTTTAGAAGATAAAAAGTTAAACACGTGTCACACACAATTCACAAAATGAAAATGGACATGTGACACAAAGTTTAGAGGATAAAAAGTTAAACACGTGTCACACACACAATTCACAAAATGAAAATGGACATGTGACACAAAGTTTAGAGGATAAAAAGCATATGATAAATTAGAGTTAAAGGTTCAGAGGAATGAATAAAATAGAGTTATGAAACAATTTATAAAACATTGGACAAATGTAATAAAAATATTTAGAAAGATCGTGCTTGGAGTAACTTTACCTGGAATTGTCGAGTTTTTTATGTTTATTTTTATTTTAAAAGACAAAGATCACGTTCTTCTTAAGCAGGAAAGGCGTACCAAAGCGACGCCTGTCGGGTAAAAAGTCATCCGTTTCGAGTGAGTACTATACAACAAGCTAGTGTTTCAAATGAAGCCGGACACGCACAGGAAGATATTTTCAGTTGTCGAAAGTTTCAATCTGCTGTCGCCAAAATTGTCTCCTCTTCTCACGTGGCGCGACGAACACGAGGAGGAGTACTTCTGAGATGAACAGACAACCCAACCACGGGTTAGGAAGAGTTCTGCGTAGGCTACCACACGCTTCATAGAGAGAGTCGAATGTGCCGATCGTTAAGAGGAGCGGCACCGCGGGAATGAACGAACCGCGCTGCTTAGATCTTGGAGCTTCAAAACTTCTATATATGTTGAATTTGTGAAGGCGCTGATGAATTGCGACAGAAATCTTTAAAGTGGTTCATAATTGTGTAAATGTAATTTCGCTAGTAAAAGGAAATATTTTCAAGAAGTTCCTCGTAAAGCTGAGATAACTTTGCTCTCTGGAACAATGGCGGCCACTCCCTACCCAACAATGCCGAGGCCCGAGCGATCGGACAGCGGTTCTGGAGTCAAACCACGCCTTTACAGACAACCGTCCAATTTGTCCAATTTTAGCTGGTCAGGAAGGCAGCGCGCGCCTAAGGTGTGGGTACTGAATCCTATGCACATTGTCACATTAACCGATAGAAAGGAATCTAAGATTATATGGTATTTTGAAAAGATAAAGGCAATATCAGAGAAGTGGTTCACGCACGTGCTACTGTTGCTCTTCATGTTAGGCTATGCAGCATTAGGAGCCCTACTTTTTCAGTGGATTGAAAGACCGGTAGAGGACCAGGAGAAGGAGAGCATCGGGAAGGTGAGAAAGTTAGTCATCGAAGACTTGTGGTCCAAGCAAAATGAAACCGCTGAGATCTGGCGAGCGCTGGCGATACGTCGCCTCACGGAATATGAAGCCCAAGTGTCCCAGTCTTACAACAGTGGCATAAAGACAGATTCCGAGTTAAGACAATGGACATTTTGGGGGTCAATGTTCTTCTGCGGAACTATCTTCACCACAATAGGTAAGAATTTAATCGTCGTAGACGAGGTTTACTATTTCAGTTTCTAAGTAGTTCCTGTAGCGTTACTGTTTTCACCACTATAGTTAAACATGTAATCACCAGAGACAAGCTTTACTATTTAAATTTCTAATTAGTTCCTGTAGCGTTACTGCCTTCACCACTACAGTTAAACATGTAATCACCAAAGACAAGCTTTACTATTTAAATTTCTAATTAGTTCCTGTAGCGTTACTGCCTTCACCACTACAGTTAAACATGTAATCACCAGAGATAAGCTTTACTCTGTAAGTTTCCATGTAA